CCTTCCCTGTCTGAACACACACACAAACACAAAGTCTCACTAATAGATTATTCAGAATGCAGCAGAGCATGGCTCTAAATTTAGACCCAACTCTCTTAGTGTGATCCACAACTGCTGCTGCTGCTGACGTCAACCTGTCACATCACAACTGGGTCTTATTCATTAGATAGTAGCCATTTTCTGCAATATTTTGTCCCAATTTTTGTTTGTTCTTAAGCTTATATATGTTAGATAATGACTCATCTGTTTTTTCAATATCTTTTTAATAGTTTTTTAGGCTAATGGACTAATAATTAGACACACAATGCCTGACTGTCTAGCTGTAATGTTTAGTTAGTTAGTTGTTTGGCTAGTTTTTTTATTTTTATTGATCTTGGCTTTGGTGCAGTGTTTGTTTTGTTTTTCATTGCTAACGTCCATGTTTCTGTTTGTGCCCTAGAAATGTTGCCCTCTTCAATTGGTTCCACTTTTGCTATTTTGTGGCTTTAATAATCTGTTTGTTTTCAAACAAACTTAAAAATAAATAAAATTACGTTTTGTGTAAACATTGAATCTGGAACAACCAACGCTTAATATTATAAACACATGAGAAATTAAATTTGATATTTGTTTCAACAACAAAACAACAACAACAAAACTAAATCTCTGTGCTAGAACATAGTGCATACATTTTGTATACTACATTTGACCAGTATATAATGGCTACATACTGACTGACCAGCTCTAAAACACATTGGAGATGATCTGGCGGGCCAAATATAATTACAACATGGGCCAGATTTAATCCGTGGGCCTGAGTTTGACACCTATTTTTTAGCTGATTGTTTCACGTTTTGAATATTTGTCAGTGAGGAGGAAAACGAATCGGTGCGTCAGATGGCAAGACGTCTCTTCTTCAGGTCAGAAACGACCTCAGAGTCAGACTTCCGTTTCACTCCAGCAGAACAGGAGGGACACCAACATGACCAAACACTGAGTGACAACAGGTTCTAACAACCAGCAGGTCGATGTGACAGTGAGCCGCACACTCTCTCACAGCCCACATGCTGGCCCATTAGGAGAGGCTCAGTGGGCCGCTGTGTTGACTTTCTGTCTCTGCTGCTCCACAGAATCTGCCTGGAAAATTTCCAGCAGCTGTAGCTTCAGCTGCAGCTGATGAACAGATCAGTGTCCACTACGAAAGCGTCTCAATCTCAGGTTCTGGATCAAATTTTAAAACAGTCCGGAACTCCTTTACCCACAAATGATCTTTGCTAAGTTGTCAGTGAGTGCAGCCTCAGTTATAGATACTATACGGCAGTGGTTCCCAAAGTGGAGGGTGAGGCCCCTGTAAGGGACAGGCAAATACATTTCAATTTTTTTTTTATGTGTCCCACAGTGGGGACATTGGATTGGTTATAAATCTGAAGCTAAAGGAGTGTGAGTGTGTATGTGTGTCGACGTGTGGGGCAAGAAGGGCAAAAAAAAAAAATGGGGTGCTGCAAAAAATGTCTCACATCATCAAATATTGACCTTGGCCATTGGTCAGCGTCTCTGTCCAGTCTTTATGTACAGTCTATGAAAAACTGACCCTGTGGTCCACAGGAAAACCCTGAGACTGAGGTCAGGTTATTTTTTTTTAACTTCAGCCTACAGTAGAACGTCAAATTCACACAATTAGCAGTGGTGATCAAAGGAGGTCATCTGGACACGTGATGTCCTTCACCCTCTCACTGGTCATTGATCAGATCAGCGTCTCTCATCTCATCAATCAGTGATCACACTAACTCTAATGTCAAAACCAAAGGGAAAGGCTGCTTTTATCTAATGACAGAAAATGAACCGTTGACTCTTCATCTGTGAGCAGAGGCTACCGTGATCACTGCTCTGATTCTGGGTGTGACTGATTGTCCTGATGATTGATCGGTCCAAACGGCTGTCGTCCATCAGCCTTTGTTTGTTTGATTAACTCTGTGTGGATTCATTATGATGTCAACACCTGTCAATAGCTGAGAAATGAGAGCTTTGACAAAACCATTATATGTAAACAGCTGAGCTCCTGTAGCATCAGAGCTCTGTTGTCATATTCAAACGGATTCTTGTTGTCTGTCTTGACAGGGTTTATTTATATACTCACTCTGAAGACGTCACCCTGCTCAGGTCTCTCAAGTTGTCATCAGTACTTGTGAAGTGAAGTGTACGTGTTCTCCCTGTCCGTGTGTGTGTATTTCCTAACACAGTTTGAATCATGCAGGTTTATTATCACTGACTGAAGACAAATATCAATGGATATAAATGGCTACTAATGAATATTGCTAAATATTAGTTGACTTAGTTGAATTGTACTGGAGTCAATTTCACATCTCAGAGGCTGTAAATAGAAGGAGCCTCAGATGTTCTCCTGGATCAGGAGGTGTTGTTGTTGTAAATGCTCTTAACTTGTCCTCAGAAATAGAAGAGTGAACGCTGATGTTTGTTTTGAAAAGACGTGAATGTATTTTAGTAAAAACCAACAAACTCACTGCCAGAGGGGGATGGAACATTCTGTGCAAATACAGATGGAGGAGAAAAAGGAGGCGCAGTGAGACGAAGTGAAGGAGTGGTGTGGTCTGAACTTTATCATTTTTTTACTGTAGTACTGCTGACCCTGGGTGGGCTCTATGATAATTACAGATGGTCTTTGGTTCTATGCCGACCGTCATGGGCGTGCAGGAGGGACACCGGTCAAACATGCACTCCCTCCAGTGATCATAAAATGATGATGTCCGTGCACATGCTAACACAGGTGACATATGGGCCGCTAAAAGGCAGATTCTCCAGATAAAGCCTGTCAATGAGTAACGCAGTGAATCGTCCACTCAGTGGCTGGAAAATTGGGAGAATAACAAGCAAACATGGAGGTAATACAGGCGCTGGTGAGAGGAGGAGGAGGAGGAGGAGGAGGAGGAGGAGAAGGAGGTGGGGTGAAAGGAGCAGCAGGTGAAAAATAACACAAACCTTCTTTATAAAAAGATGCAAAGAAAAATAAATAGAGTCCAAACCTCAGATGGCGGTCAATCTGTGGTCTGGAGAAAATAGATGATGATTACGAAGCAGTGGCTGAAAATGTGATGAAATATGTTTGAAATCCGTCAGTTAGAATTAGACCAAAACTCTGCCAGCTGTCAGATAATGACACCAATGGAGAGGGTTCACATCCTCTAATCCACACGTGTCAAACTTAAGGCTCGGGGGCCAAATGTGGCCCGCAGGAGCTTAAAAAGCATTTAGTAAAGTCCATGGAGCAGAGTTTCTTAACCTATGAAATTATTATTTTTTTAAATTACACAGCAA